GCTCAGGCTGGAGTGCAGTGGCACAACGATGGCTCACTGCAGCCTGGACCTCCTGGGTCCAAGCGATCCGTCTCAGGCATGTAGCTGAGACTACAGGCATGTGTCACCTTGATCAGCTAATTAAAAAAAATTTTTTTCTGTAGAGACAAGGTCTTGCTATGTTTCCTAGGCTGATCTTGAACTCCTGGGCTCAGGCAATCCTCTTGCCTCCGCCTCCCAAAGTGCTGAATTACAGGCGTGAGCCACCACACCTAGCAAGAGTTGTTAGGTAATTAAATAACATAGGCGTGAATCTCATAGCACAGAGTGTGATATAATAAAAGCTCAATAATTATTAGCTGGAATTAAAGACTAAACAAGTAGATCTCAAGGCAGAAAGCCATAAGCCACAAAGAGGATAGTAGGTTATGTAGTACAGTTCACACTGTTGAAAATGGGAAAACACTACCATTGCAATGGGAGATTTTAACACGTCACTTTTAGTCTTTGTAAGTTGCTAGAAAATAACAAAAAACAAAGATCCAAAGATCAGAATGTGAAGGAAACAATGACATAAGCTTGACAATGTCCTTGTGTTTCTGGCCTGGCTCCAACAAGAGCTTGGCCAGTGGTTTCTTCTCTTGATGTTTGCCCCTGGGAAAATTGATTTAGTAGAATTCAGGTGGTGTGACCTCTAGTCTGCATTGGCTGGATGTAGCCTGCTTCAATAATAACTTTGCTTAGAACTTCAACGAATGCAGATGTTAGTAGTTTTACTTAGACTCTCAGAAACCAAAGATGTTAGTACTATCGTAAGCTTGCCAAGAAAGTCACAAACATTAACCTTTTTCCCAGATGATACTAGCATTAAGATATTTCTTGTTTATGTAGTTTTGCCATATGTAAAAAACACGCTGTGAGAATAAACTTGCTCTCACCTATTGAGGCGAGAGACCTCCCAATCCTGCTGTTCTTTATCTTTCTTTTCTCATTCCTTCCCCCCACCTCAGGCCCTGCTCTACAGAGGCTGGACCTCCGCAAGAATGCTTTAAGTTTGACTTTAGTAATAAAGAATATCTAGTCGTTTAATATTATATTCCCTGTCAAAAAGAAATTTTAGCTTCAAAAAGCACATTCGTGCAAGGAAGAGCTTTAGCCACAATGCATGACAATTTAAAAATAATACCAAACAGTTAACCCAATAATCAAATATCTTGGACATAATTTTTTTTTCCTAAATAACTATTGGGTACTGGGCAGAATAAGAGCTGCCATGATAAGCTATTTGATAGGGGAGAGCGGGAGACAGTGAAAACTGTACATATTAAAATGCAGTATCGAGTGCTTAGTCATTAGAGTTATAGGGACTCCAGTATTAGAATTCAAGTGCCGGCCGAGCTTGGTGGCTCAGCCTGTAATCCCAGTGCTTTGGGAGGCCGAGGTGAGTGGATTGTCTGGTCCACGGGCTTGAGACCCGCCCGGACAAATTGACAAGACCTCATCTCTACAATAAATCAAAAATTAGCCGGGCGTGGTAGCGTGCGCCTGTAGTTCCAGCTAGTTGGAATGCTGAGGCAGAAGGATCGCCACAGCCCAGCAGGTCGAGGCTGTGGTGGCTGGGAGTGTGCCACTGCACTCCAGTCTGGACGACGGAGTGAGACTCCAACTCAAAAAAAAAAAAAAAGAACTCAAGTGCCAATGATGATCAACTGTGTGACCTTGGGGGAGCTATCTGACATCTCTGAGCTTCAGTTTTCCTCTCTGTGAAATGATGATGATAGCTGGGCATGGTGGCTCATGCCTGTAATCCCAGCACCTTGGGAGGCTGAAGTGAGTGTATTGCCTGAACTCAGGAGTTTGAGTTCAGTCTGGGCAACTTGGCGAGACCTTGTCTCTACAATAAATTAAAAAACTAGCCAGGCATGGTGGCCCATGCCTGTAGTCCTAGCTACTTGAAAGGCTGAGGTGAAAGGATCACCTGAGTCCAGTAGGTCCAGGTTGTTGCAGCCATGTGCCACTGCACTCTAGCCTGGAAACCTGGACAACAGAGTGAGACTCAGACTCAAAAAAAAAAAAAAAAAATGATGACAATACCTGCCTCATAAGTTTTTTTTTTTTTTCATTAATCAGTAGTTTTTATTATGGTTTTGTGGGGTACAGTTAAGGGTAGGTGTACAATGACGTTTCATTCAGGCACCCTGTAAATAAAAAGTGTTTTCCCATCCCCTGACAAATATTTGCTACTGTTAATCCCATCCCCCTCCCCCCCATAGTTTCCCAGTACCATCCGTCATTTTCTCATAGTATTGCATTGGATGTTCAAGGTCCATTATATGAGTGAGAACATGTGATATTTGGATTTTTGTTTTTGTGAGAGGTCACTCAGTATTATAGACTCTAGTTCCATCCAGGTTGCAGCGAAATTCATGATTTTGTTCTTTTTTATGGCTGCATAGTATTCCATCGTGTATATGTACCACATTTTTTAAGTGAAGATAAAATAAAACTTGTGACGCACTTACCATAGTACCTACCACATAGCAATCACTCTATAAATGTTGCCAATTATGAGATGTGGGCAATGTTATTCTTAGAGAAAATTTAATATCTTTACATGCTCGTATTATTAAGAAAATAAAAATCACTCAAAAAAAATGTTAGGGATGGGAAGGAAACTCAAGAAAAGCAAGAGGAATAAATTACAAATGTAAAAGTTGAAAGAAATGAGTTGGATGACAGAAAATCCATACAATAGATAAATAAATTCAACAGTAGATACTTTGGAAAGATTCATGAAATGAATCACTGGCAAATGTAGGCAGGAAAT